TATATATATATATATATATATATATATATATAAATATGTATACATATATATATATCAATGTATGTGTGCGTGGATGTGCGAGTGTGTGCGTGGATGTGCGAGTGTGTGCGTACGTATTTGCCATGATATTTTCAGTTATGCTGTACTCCGTTTAAATACCTGTGCGTATATCAAGGCACACAAACGCATTTGTGAGGAAGACGACGGCGAACGTCACTGCATGCATGTCAAAGGACAAGTTTATTACTTACCGTTTTGTTGCGGGTTATAGCCACCTGAAGGCAAAGTGTTGCGGTTTGGATCTACATTGGCGGCAGTTTGATAACTGGCACCTCCGTAGAACGGTTGACTCATACTCAGCTACCCTAGAATTCAGACCAACTACGCGTGTTCGATATGTTCTGTATCTCGCATGCACACTCACTATGATATGTGTATTCGGGTGGTAGATTCCAGTATTGTGTTTTTGTAATATAAAATAACCCCGCGCGTAAAAGCCTTGTGCGTCAATTGTCGACGTTTATTTATCAATACCCCTTTATTACACTGTTTATTTATTATTGTGTTCCACAGCTATGTGATGTCTGAGCACTTCTTGCACTTCACCACGGAGAATATTGGACATGTCATATTTTAGATTTTGGACGAATGGACGATTTGTAGAGAATATTGGGTGTGTCGTATTTTTAGTATCTTGGACCATTTGTGGACGCGACTTTAGAAAGATCATATTTTGGATTTGTAACTATTTGTAGAGAGAATATTACCATATTTTAGACCATTTGTAGAGAATATTGAACACGTCATATTTTGGACTTCGAATCATTGCGTTGTTCGCCATTTTTTTTGGGCTCTCTGATTTCTCTCAGTGTCAGTCTCTCTTCTCTCTCTCTCCTTATTCTCTTTTATGACTAATCTTTATTTATTTATCTTTGTGGGTTTGATTTCAGTGACACTGTCCGACTGTTTGTATGGGGGGGAAATGGGAATCCGGTGTGAGAGATATTTTTTGTGTGAATGAAAGCGAATACACATCAAATTAGTATTTATTTATTTAAATATCGTAAATAACCTTCGTGTCGCATATTGGTAGCTTTTCTCCGCAGTAGTTCCGAACAGATTCGAGATTTTTGCTGTGCGAGAACACTGCTGTTTAAACACACGGTATAAAAAACCAAAGAAATTTAAAACATAAATTCCATATTACCAGACAGCCAATAAGCACTGTGTTATTTATAAATATTATCAGTGTCATAGTGACATCTTGACGTTGCGAAGCGGGCTGCGGGTAGTATTCATTCTGTGCGAAAAAGTTAAAAGTGCCCATATATATATAGGCCAGCCATACCAACACAAGTATCACTCATCGAGAAGCGCATCTACAGTAAGTTGTATTCATGTAACATGTTTTGACATGCGTTCGAAATATACCCACGAACGTATTATGTTAGCACAGTAACGTGATCATTTTGCAAGATCATTGTGACCCTACCCCAGCATGTATGTTTGTACCGTTCATACTCGATATATTCATTTTGATAAAACTCTTTATATTGAAGCTGTTTGTTTCCGTCCATATAGTGTATCACCTTCAACCCTCGACCGACTCATGTATACGTAGTTCTTTTTTTATCATTCCACCTAGTATTGCTGATATTTTCTACTTCTTGTGAGTATCAATAGACGCATGCGGTAAATTATACTCTCTTTGGAGGCTATGTGCACGTATTGCTTTGCCATGCTCCTAGCCAAGTATATACTATCCTGTGGAACAATTTTGTGGTGGTTGGTATTAGTATTAGGATGTATACTGTGGTTTCTGTTATCGTTATTCTGTGGTCTCTATTAACAATGTTGTACGTAGATTTATTTTTTGTGCATACAACAGGGGAGTTTAACTTTGAAGCTATATTGCTTTTTCTGAAATATATGTTGTGCCTTTGTCACTCATAATGGACTACCACTCTCACTAGTGCTGCTGTTATTGTTGTTTATTCTGAAGCACTTCCTGGATGTTCATTCGTGTGATATACTGTCATATTTCATATCTTTAACGATTTCTAGGTTATTCGTGCTATTCACTTGTTCGAAGCATTTTAGATGTAGGTGTTTTATTTATGGTGTATCGATATTCTGTTAGTTTTTTTGTATTTTTGGCAGTAAATGTCACTTATTCTTGCGGTATAGTGTGCATATTCCTTAGCAAGAATAACAACGTCTACGGTTCTCCGGCTATAGGGAGAGAACTTTTGTCCATTTGCTCATGTAAGAGGCCTCATGATTGAGGTTTTTACGCTCCTGTATGACTGTATTTATGCCGTGAAGTTTGTCTACTGGTTGACAGTTCTTACGTACAAACAATTGCGAATACTAGTAGTTATGTAAATATCCACACATACGTGCCTGGGACATCAGTCAATGCTTGCAAACAATGTTTCCCACCAATGTAACTATCCTGAGTTTTAATTCATGGGCTATTTTATCCTTCTCTTAGACATGACTATGCTACCAACGCATATGAGTGACATTCTTTGTCAAGATCATTGACTGCGCCCTGTGGGGCTGTATATGCTTAACTTTAAGAGCAGCCATTCAAATCTTGTGACCTGAGGTTGTGCATATCTTTTCAAAAGTAACTGTCTGATCTTTGTGGTGATGTGTGTGTGGTATTGGCCTGCATTTGTGTATAATATTGAGTTCTGCACGTGCATGCAAAACGTTTGATAGCTATAGTGTCAGCAGGCAGTATTCCGATTTCGCGGGTGTTACATGTGTTGAATTGGATCTGAACTTTGGTTTTGAGCTCGAAAGTGTTTGTGCTATTACTACGAACCCATGTTCGCTTTAGTGCCGGACCTTATCATATGTATTTCAAATACGATCTTCTCGATGTTTCAAATCCTATCAGTATATTCCCACTCGTCCGATCAACTCAACCATCCCCGCGGAGCTTTGAACACACCCGACTAGTAGTAGCATATATATATATATATATATATATATACATATACATATACATATATCCTCCTTAACAAGAATATATCTACACTCTTTGACATGAACATATAACCTTTAGCAAGTACATACATACACCCTCGACCTGTCCCAGAACACAGATACAGCATACCCCACTCTACTGTCAACATGGCCAACCAGTGGTAACACACATTAATGTTTATATACACACCCTCCTTGCTTCATTCTTATATCACAGCCACAGCACTCCCCCACGCAACAGCTAACATGCCCACCCAGACCCCCAAGATGCGCATGGCCTCTGCCAAACACGCAGCAAACATCACCAAGCGAGGAAATGTACCTCAGTCACGCCTGGTCAAAGAAGACAACGAACTGCCCATCAGCAATACCACGCTCGCCATCCTGCTGTTTGTGGTTGTAGGATCCGCTATTGTGGGTGCGTTGGCGTCCATCTCCACGCCAACTACGCAATAAAAGTACCACTACTAATTTATTAATTACTAAGATAATGGATCAGAAATGGGTCAGACTGCCGCTTCGCAACCTATGCGTATTTACGTGCTGTGTACTGTCGTATTGTGGGTACTCTGGCGCCCATCATCACACCAACTACTGTGCAGCTACTGTGCAATAAACGTACCACTACTTTGTTACTCAGATACTCGATCAAAATGCCGGTTCACAGCCCGTCCGTATCTGTGGTATTGTGGGTGCCTTGGCGTACATCTCCATGCCAGCTACGCAATAAATGTACCACTGCCTAATTACTTATGTACTCACGAATACTTGATCAGAAGCTTTGGCGCACATCTCAACACCAACTACTGTGTAATAAACGTACTACTGTACTACTTAATTACTCGGATACTAGGTCATCAGAATGCCGCTTCACAGCCCTTGCGTACTTGTGTGCTGTGTGCTGTACTTACCTTTTGTATTGTGGGTGCTTGGACGGCCGTCTCTACACCCATCACGCAATAAACAAACCACTATTTGTTTTGGGTTGATTAGTTTTTACGTGTCACCGTTTAGTACATGGAGCTTTGGCGTCCATCTACACGCCTATCACGCAAAAGAAAGTACCCTTACATACCAAGTTAGTTGATCAGACTACCACTTCCATAGACTGCCACTTCGCTATCAATACATATGTATATGCGATTTGCTGATGTCAGCGCCGCCATCGGGTCTAGCTTCCCACCAATAAGCCATAACCCTGAAACAGGATATGAACAAATGCTGAAGCAGGATATGAGCAAGCGCCTCAATGCTTTCGTATGTAATTGCGTAGATGTTTTTTTTATGTGCACTGTTACTTACTACTTGAATGAGTGTTGCCACTACTTGTTTTTGCTGAGTCGAGTCACTGTGGTGTGACAGCAGATTCACTCTCCGCAAGTTAATATGAGTTTCGATTTACGGTGGGCTACATATCAATACTTGAGTACGACACTACAGAATCAATTATCGAACGGCTCTCGTGTTTGCCACAGTGTGCTTTTGATGGGTCTCGTTTCGCTCTATATTAAACTCAAAATCGATCTGGAGTGACTTTTGCAGAACATGTGCCGTTGCAGAGTATACGCAAGTGCTGTATTAGTGTAACCAGGTCCATGAAAACCGCTTCGCACGTACACAATATTGCACAGTTTACCATACCGCAGCCAATACTAGAACTAACGGATAGTCCGGGTGTGTCTCTGGCAACAACACATCACGTCGAGAACATTTATACTTTCGTGTCGATTGGCCTTCTTCGGTCTTTAGCTTTCCGGTCACAATAGCGAGGACACTTTCGTGTGATCATCGAAGAAGCCTTTTTGTTACAATTTATTTACAATATCCTCTTCGAACCACACCGATACTGTCCCTCTAAAACACTACAAAGCCACTTTCGTGTCGATCAGCCTTGGCACTATATAGCTGAATATTTTGGCTTAGTCAGCTACACAACATGCGGTGAAGCCATATGATCGAAAGGCAGCGGGTTGCTACTCAAACCAAGGTTTATATCTTCGTAACGCATTGGAGCATATAAACCATAAAAAGTATATCCGAACAAGCACCTGAAAAGCTCTACAAAGCGCTGAAAAGCATTGAGCTTAGTGATGATTGGCGATCGCTGGCGTGAACACTTTTGCACACCAGCAGACGATATCCTGCGATGCGATTCGGATATCGCTAGTAAATGCACATCTATGAACCTCTCGGGCTATCTGGTATACCCACAGTTGCATCGGATGCACTTCTTGTCGCGGGACCACACCTATAGTCCGATATGATGCCACGATACATCATAAGTGCATATAGCCTCGCGGATGCGCCGGTCAAACAAACCTCACGACGCTTCCAGACATCTATACATTTCTAGACATAGACATATATATGCATGTCCTTGTACGTGTTTCGCGGTGAACATGTAACACAATCAATAATTGTATATTCTTGTTTATTCACTTGGACTGAGTCTTTTTCAAACTGCGACTTCGTTTTCGCTTTATTTCTTACATTCTGTTGCTTGTTTTTCTTCATACATGCATCCCACTGAGCGCACGATGTGAGCGTGTCGAGATATGTACAAATGCCTACATACAATATAGGCATTGCAGATGTGTGTGTCTTTAGAGAGCACCTGCCTGCAAAATCGCAGATCATGGTACGCACAGTAGTTCCTAAGTTGCAAATACCGTGGGATGCGTTGAGATTAGCTATGATATTTTGTATGTAATATGCGGTATATATGCTCAGGAGTGACGACCCCAGTCATGTCCACAAATCCCCCTGCATACCCTGTCCGTGATACTAGACACTACTAGTAGCTTAATCATCCTCCTATATAGTTGTCCATATTAACATAACCCTGGTGTATACTATCACCGCGTGCACTACTAGTTGCCGCCCACGGCATTCTCAGCCACACATTCCTTAACTTCAGTCTGTGCTTCCATTCCTAATTTTAGCTGTGACTCGGTTTCCTCGGGAGTCAGGGATAGTTGTTTCTTAACACTCGCTTCAGAACCACTGGGTGCAATGGCGCTCTCTGTGCCTCCCTCTAGCGTCTGTTGCTTAGACACTGCGGCTTTGGCTTCATCCGCAATGGTCACCCAGAGTTCCCTGCCATCATCCTTCTGTCTGGCGGCAATGTGGTGTGTGGTTAGCCTCTCGGGCTTATTGTTCAGCAGAGTTCGGAAACGACCCTCAATATACTGCATGCACTCCTCTGGGGCTGTTGTGTTGCGGGGGGTGAAGTGATGTGTCGTGACTTCAGTGTGATGTAGTGTGATGTAATTTTAACGCAGTAGCTGTGACTGTACTGTGATGTGACAATGGATGACAATGGAGCGGGGGAATTATTTGATCTAGCATTGACGTGGCGAGCATCACTATGAATCGCTACTAAACGCGTTGCATTTGTATACCCTTGTATGTATGCTAGTATGCAGCTTAATCCCAAATTATGAGCAAGCGTACATCATCCACAAGCTCAGTTACAGTTGCGAGACAATTCGAGATTGTACTTGCAGTTAGGGCCCTCATAATCGGGGAAAGTTTCTTTCAAAGGTTTCTTGAGCAGCATATTCTCAAATGCATCCTTCTTGTTGAAGACTAGACAGATCTTAGTGTCGTTGAACACCCGGTTATTGACCGTTGCCTTGAACGCGTTCATGGCCTATGTTTGTGCATAAAGGAGATATATAGCCATATAGATCAGTACAAACGTCCAAAGATCAAACAGGAAAATTGGGTGCGTTAAACGTGACGTAATATCTAATCATAACTAGGCAATCCACTGTGAGCGTTCGCTCTTATAGTGCACTTGTCGACTATAGAAGCATTTGCACAAATATGTACACCACTACGTTTACATACGTATGCATGCACATCGTTAGGTATCACATATCATGTCTGATTGTCGGCCTCTACACAGTTTTGGCACAGCTTCGACAGGTGTCCGAAGTAGAGCTCCAAATTTAGTGAATTACTATACTATACCCAATTTTTACAAAGGGGTTCGATAATTATATTGCCAGAAAAATAGTCATAGATATACGTACTTTCTTCTTTTCTGGTATCAAAACCAACTATCAAAATCAAAAATCACAGCCTACAATGTATCCATTTTTTCATTAGTTTCTTTTGTATATTGAATACGCTCACCTCAGTCATTCTGTTCATACTCGCGTCTTCGTATGTGACGGTGGCGTATCCCGCCAGGTTAACCACGAACATCAAACAGTTAACGTTTGCGAAACACCCCACCCTTTTGCGTCGCTCGTTGCGTTGCCCTCCCACATCATCGACTCTGTAAAGTCAAGGTGGTGAAATAGAGGTAAGTATGTCGCTTTTTTAATTGAAACTGATACAATATACCGATACTACACCACAGCATGCCATGTGCCATCTAGTCACCAGCACAGAGCGAAATTCACACAATATGTCGATATTATTTCGACCACATTTGCAATTTCCTGTGCATAGTGAATAAGCTGTTTATAGTGATAGTTTTATGCAACTTTTTGATAGATACTTACTCGAAGGCTCGGGAAGGCTTCTCAATGTGTATGCTCACAATGCCGGTGGTGATGACACGGGCCATAACGCAATCCTCCGCGGGCCGATGAATCGGCTGAAGTTTTCAAAATAACTGTGGAATAATTTGTCGCAACAAAGATGTTAGATTTCAGTGAAACTTTCAAAGTAAGTTCAGAGCAACAGTTTGATGACCATGTCAGTGTGCTTGCAGACAATAAAGACCGTATACAGAGGAGCACGATCTTTTCCTCTTTTTCTGTCTTTAAGAAAGTACTCTTTTATCTAAGCACAAGCACATGCCTCGACTAGTGGTCATTGTAAGCGTCGTAGTGTGGAGAAAAGCGGCGTAGTGTGAAGCAATATCTCGGTAAAGCGGTAATGTTTTCAAAGAGCCGAATGACATCTTAAATCTCGTGCCGACATAAAACATCGAAAATTCTATGCGAGAATATCTCAATGACATACTATTCGATGGAATCTAAGCACCAGAACTCATCTCGGCGCATCCATGCGGCCTGTATCTGGTCACTGTTCCAACATGCCATGACTGCATTGTATACGTTCTCAGGTACTTCCGCATCGTCATCGGCACAATCGAAGTTTCGCACGGTGTCGGCGTGCAGCTTACGTACCAGAAGAGGAATATAAAAGTCAGTCACTCTACTGCACTACTATGTTATAACATGTCCACTAGAAACGCTGTCACAGACAAAAATGTGTAAATAAATAATTTTGGACCCCTATTCTTTGCAAAATGCGTAAATAATTTTGACCACTATTTGCATATTTGAGTTATAGAAACCGGAGCATATTCGTATGCATGCATTTATGCATGTATGCATGTATGTATATATGCATGTATGCATGTATGTATATATGCAAGTATGTATGTAGGTAGGTACGTGTGTATGCATGTACGTAAAATCTCCCTGAAACTTCAGTGAGAAATTTAGGTTATAGACTTTCTTGTAAAAAAATAATACTGCGATGGAGTTTGTATATAAATTATATACTAATATTACAGTGTGAGTTTAGACTTAGACCATCTAATAGTATATAAACTAGATATGCACAGTACGTGCACATATATATATATATATATATATATATATATATATATATATATACTATATATATATATATATATATATATATATTGTATACACATACACACATAATATATATACATTATATTACTATAATAAATAATATAATATAATATATATATATATATATATATATATATCAGAAAACATATAAAATTGGCCCGCGACCAGTATACGCTAGACATTTACGATCAGGATACCTTGAGAGGTAGATTTTGTTCAATGGCAATTTGCTGTACCATGTAGTTGCATGCGGCGATCAAGACTTGCATGCTCTCCTGTGTTGCGCCTCAAGTTGACGCCGATCTCGTCCAATTCCTCTCTATTGAAATTGATGTTGTGTACCATTTTAATTTGTCTATGGTACTCTTACCACATTCTCCTGCCCCGAGTAGCAATACCTGATGGGGAGAAAAAGCAACAAATAAAAAAGTCAATTTGACATTGGTTGTCCTGTGCACATGTTTGCACGAGTTGCATACAAACCGATTGCAACCGGATAACAGTTGCATTGAACTTTCAGCAACTCCAAATTATTCACCAAGGACGATGCTTATAAAGTTCTGGACTACGATGCATCGTGCACATATTTGCACGAGTTGTAAACAAAACGATTGCAACCGGATAACAGTTGCATTGAACTTTCAGCAACTCCAAATTATTCACCAAGGACGAAGCTTATAAAGTTCTGGACTACGATGCATCATTGAGATGTGACTATCAAGAGAATCAGTTCTAGACGTCTTAAGACAGCTGTACATATGTTCTTGATACCTTGTACTTCTCAATCGCAGCCTTTTGCAATTTTGCTTCGGCCTTGTAATTGACACTTTTCTCGTCACTTTTCGGACGGCCCACCAGGCAGATTAGTCGACTGACTGGTGACCTTCGTTTGAGTCCAGTGTCAGCCAGTGAGCTTGTTGAGGATGACTTCTTCTTCAGTGCCGAATTCGATAGTTTCTTCCTTTTAAAAAGGTCAGCGATGCTGCTGCGCGTCTTGCCTGTCATTGTGAGTTGTAACTGTGATATACCAATACAGTCGATAGGTCTATGTTTGATTGCTTCTGATGTAATCTTTTTTCGCAGATTACTACCAGGTCACGATACTAAACAACGAGGGGGAATGAGGAAGAATACAAGATGTTTGTTAATTGATAGTTGAAGAAAGTGAGTTCAAGTACATGCATATACTATGATCGATGATTTGTTAGTGTAAGATTGAAGTATACTTCTCGGCGTGTCCGCAAATTTATAGAATATGGCAAGCTCACCGGAAGATAGAGAAAACATAGCTTTCTCTATGTTGACACTTGAATACCCGCATTTTAACTCTCAGTACGCATTTTATTCAGGTCTCAGGAGTATTGTCAATTGTGCGGATTTTTATTGTTTATTCATGAGTTGATATGTAAATAACATTAAAACTGTAAAACAGAGTTTCACGCGGTAGTGTTTGCCTGTTATAGTGTTGCAAATTATCTTTGGATGACGCCACAAGGAAAATCTCCTATTACTGATATCAGCAAGCATCTTTTAAATAGGTCAATCACATCAGTGATCAGAGTCTCTCAGACAACTATATTCGTATATTTAAAAAAACAAAATAGAGCAGTTGAGAACAACAATTTGTATGCTTTATTTTAGACTCTCTCTGCTGGAGCCTATGTATAGCTCAATAGCTGAGCAGACTGCATAGCAGGAGCAATATAAAGACAAAAATAATAATGCAAAATTTGAAAACTTAAATTTAATATGATGATATTTTTTTAAATAGCATACATACGTCATTGTGTGATACGGAGCCATCTTTGTACGTTTTTGATGTTTTGTTTCTTTTTTTAAAAAACAATATAAAAAACAAGAAGCAAATACATGACCCTCGAAGTGTAAAATTTAAGGGAGAACGGATAAGTCCGTAATTTGATTTTCTGCAGTTCACACTTCACACACACGGTCCCAAGTTAAAATTGTTGTGTAAATTTTTAACAATATTTTTTAAACTTTTATAATCTATTTTAGCGAGATGTCAAAGACTCAAAAACATTTCTTTTCAAAACAATATACATCATATGGTGATATGGGCCATCTTCGTTATGTAAAATACACATTTTATTTTATTTTGTAAAAATAACAAGAGAGAACAGAATAAAACTATATAATTTCTTTTTTTTGCAGTTCACACTTCTCACAGTTCATACACACACAAGTTAACTTTAAAAAAATTCTTATTTATTTTGGTCAGGTGTCAGCTTCAAGTTTCAGGGTCTGAAACTCAGTTGTTTTTAAAAACAAATAGAGACTGTCAATTCATAGCCTTCTAAATTAAACAGTCAATTATAAGACTCCGAGTCCCGAGAAGCCATACAATTCTCCGAGTTTTTTTTCGTCATGTGTGCTATTTTTTTGTTTTCCTACATAAAATGTACATAAAAAAACAAAACAAAACAACAAATCATTTAGTCAAACTATTGCTTTTTTTAAGCTGATTTTACGGACGTTGATTTGATTGGTGCATTTTACAGATATCGGCTGATAAAAACAAGAATACTTTAATAATATATTCTCTATGATACACTAACACACCAGTGACCAGCCTGTGACAGAGTCTGTCTGCACAGTGCACATATTTAAATATTAAAAACAGACACCACCAAGAACCGGGGACTTTCGAGCGGCGAGGACCGAGACCCAAACTTCAAGTATTTAATATAGTTTTATGTTATTATTTTTCATTCGAAAATATATTAATACATACATATATACTGGCAATAATGTTTTTTCTATGACCCTCTCTCTCTCTAGAGTAGAGAAAGAATAAAGAACAAAATATGGCTGATAACCTCGGACTAACGTCCGAAGGAGTTTTTTACTATTGTATTTTTATGAAAAATACCTGTCTTTACGTATGTTGATTTAATTGGCTTATTTCACGGATGGCGGCTGATAAGAGATTTTCGTGCGGCGTGCTCAGTGTTCATTTACTATAGCGTGAGACACTGTTTCACATACCAATTCTCCTGAATAAAAAATATTTATTTAAACATCATGTTCAACTGAAATGTTCACTGGACAGCTGCGTATTCACACCAACGCGTATAGAGAATTGAAGTACTGATATTCAAGTGTCAACACGGAGAAAGCATAGCTCTTGGAATACTAGACGTTTTCTACCTTTCGGTAGTCTTGCCATATTCTATAAGTTAGTAGTGACGCCGGGAAAAATACTTCAGGCTAACACCAACGAACCATCAGTCAAAACAAAACTCGCTTTATTCAACTTTCAACTAGCAAACATCGTGTACACCCCCTCATTGTATTGCCTCGTGACCTGGTAGCACTCTTCGAAAACACATTACGTCAGAAAGCAATCAATCATCAAACTATATACTATATTAGTTTACTATAGTACTTCTTCACAATGACAGGCAATAGAAGTGAACCATAAACCCTTCGAGTAAGTATCTATCAAAACGTTGCATATGTAAACTTCGATGGAAATTACTAGGTTTCAAACTATATTAA